GAGGAACCTGAATGAATTATCCATGTGCAATGATAACATCCCAAGATTCTTCTGGGATGTTTAGAATTAGTGTGGGCCTTAGTGTGGGAACTATTTATACAGTTCCTTTTCATTTCTTTCCTGGAGTAGGGTGGGGGGAGGTCACAAACCCAGGTCTCTAAAGTTGTCCTACTATAATACTTGTTTTTAAAAACATTGTGTTGCTTTCTTCGTGGTCGCAGATGTTTGCAACTGTTCGGATTTCTGCTTCTCATTCTAATAAAGAATTGCGGCAGCACAACTTGTAGGGAAATACAAAGGTCTATGTGAAAGACTTAGTACATAACATTTTAAATAAGGTCAAGTTGTTGTATTCCCACTGACCATTTTTATTTTCCCTGTTGACCCAGTGGCAGAGCATATTGTGTTTACAATGAAATCTTTGGAATGATACCAAGCCACACTGGAGGAGAAATTGGTTGTGATTTCCCTGAGGGATTAGTTTCACTGGCGATGAAGCTCAGGCTTGTAGAATATATCAAAATGAGGAACTCAAGAATGTAAGATTCTGATATGAAAAGTAATTTGTAGTTCTGGCATGTTCCCAATGCTGTTACCTTGTATTATTTCATGACATTATATGAGGATGTTTTCCTGCAAAGTTTTGAGATTGTTAGAAGGTCTTGAGTCAGCCAAGGCTGCTCTTCATATGGGGAAGATACAGTGAGGTTGCCAATGTTTGTAATTACCTGGTTCACAATATGAAGTTTAGCAATTTGTAATATTGATCCCCAATCCATGGTGATCATCACAATGCCAGAATTTTTCTCTGGCTTGGACTGAAATGTAAACTCTTCCATCCCACCCCATTTCAGTTGCCTGCTCACTTTCCACCACCCACCCAATCAGTTACCCCTTCCTTCCCTGACAGCTGTGGCTGTGGTGGTAGCATTAAGACAGCAAATAGGTCCTTCCCTGGAATATGGGTTACACATAACCAAACCATTTTCTGGGTGCATACAGGATTAATTTGGATGATTGTGCAATTCCAAATTGAGCCCAGGAGGGTGATCAATTATTAGGAGCGGAGGGGGTATGTGCCCCTCTCCACTGAACTCCTAAAGTAAAATATAGGCCCCAGAACTCCACATTGAGGTCCCTAGATATGGAACCCCAATGCTTGTGATTCTTTCACCTGAGAGATCATATTACTTTAGGTATGTGATAGGGGGTGATGTTTTTATCCTGTGCCTTCTCCATACAAAGAATGGCAGCTAAATGCAGGCCATTTGGTTCTGAATGTGAAATATATACATCATCTTCCAATGACCTTTACAAGTTGAGGGCAACTATTAGGTTCCACAAACGCATAAGTGGTAATCATAAGACATCCTTAATTTCATGTAGGCTGATCAAATTTCACACAAATAATCATATCAAATATACATAAATGTTAGCATTTCCGCCTGCAGTTTCTCTTCACGTTCACCAAATGAGGCGCATCAAAGCATTGCAGGCAGATTGGCATTTTTAAATGCTGTTTCTTCTTCATCAAGAGTTGTGGCTATGATTTCTAAATATTCACATACAAGGTAAGTAATAAATTGACAAATCTGTTATGTAGATTATGCTGGCTTTATTTTGCTAACATACAAACCCAATTCCTCAGTGTATACACCTTGTCTCTTTTTTCTCTGTTACAAGTACTTTCTCTGATTGATATACTTGGAAGCAATCCTTACCCTCATTCATTTTAATTGAGAGTAATGAATTTAGAGCATTTTTGCACACAGATTGGCTCTGTTCCATATTTAACTTTCCTTACCTTACTAAAACATGCTGTGCATTAGAGAATGCAAAAAAGGATCAGGGCTTATTTCCTTTCTGTTTTGCTGCATTTCTCCTGGATTATTTTCCACTGGGAGGGGCCATCTGCATGGAGGATGGCTGTGGTTTTCTATCTAGTAAAGGTTGTCCTGGACAGATACATCCCTTGAATATATGAAAAATACTTCATTGTGAATAAATCTCCCTTCTCCAACTTATAGGTTCTGAGAGGTAGAAAAACCATATTCCATTGCATTTCAGATGATCCTTTAACTCCCTACCCCAGGACACCAATTTTTCTTCTTCTTTGGGGAGTTGTATAATTATTTTGAGAAAAGCTCAGTCACCTCAAACAAGCTCTCCTTTGTTTCAGATAATGCGGTTGTAAAGCATTGCCAAACCTGCACAGTCACACAAATATTGGAATTCATACAGTGACCTAACTGACACAACACCTGAGTTGGCAACTCTAGTGTTGCAGAAGGTATATCACACTTGGTGTGGGAGAGTAACTTAAATTCTCTGAAAAACCCTAATCTAAAATGAAATTAAACTGGAGGTACTGTGTGGGTGCTAAAATTCACTGTGTTTTGAAAGCAAAGCTAGTAAAGATGTTTCCAGAAGACAAATGCTCACTGTAAAAGAACATAGAACGTTGTCCTATATAGAATCAGAAATGGAAGGCAAAGTCACAGGAATTCAAGTGACAATTAAATGGCATCAAACATGATTATTATTTGAACATGAACAACTATACATATAAACCTATGTGAGGATATTTGTATAAAATGCAAAATTTAAAAATACCACTACGAAAACATAAAAAAACTTCTAGATCAGATTAAGTTTCCACCTAGTCCAGCATACTGTTTCTGTGACCTGCCAGTAAATTATATTTAGTATTATGACTGAGAATTTTCTATGTTATCAGCCAGTTAATAGCTTTAGGGTCTTATAGTTGGAGTTTGGGTTGGAGTATTACTCTCCTCAGTGAATTTTGTGAAGTCTCTTGAGCTCTTCGTCAACTGGCTTGGATCACCAGCCACTTGGAATATTCCTAGGGCAGCACTTCCTGAACTTCAACCCCTATTTATATGGGGTGGAAAGAAAGGTGGAAGCTGAAACTACTGTTCTGACCCTGGAAAGAGAGGCTGAATGGAGCAGCCAGTGTGTGTCAGGCTTTCTGGACCCTGAGATTTGACTTGGTGTTCTTTTGGAACAGACGTTACCTGAGCTTGCTACATCCTTCTTGTTCCTTCTCAACAAGACCATTTGCTGATGAGGAGAGTTGACAAGGATGTTGTAAGTCTCTCACCATTATGTCAGAAAGAAGGAACACAAAATGTAGGTGTGGGTTACTATAATTATTCCAATGTTCTCTTTTCAAAGATCTGCTAGAGCTGGGAATCCCATTCCCTTGAAGGTTATCTCTGCACCACAGAAGCTCTGTAGAATTCTTCTTCAGTTGCTCTTGGCTTTATAGTAAATTGAGAGAGGTCATGGTCTAACACCTGCAGTGATGGCCGAGAGAGAAATTTGTGTTCCCTTCTCTAGTAAGTTCAGACACTGCTTGACTGCTGCACCTGTGATTAACTTGTGATAAAAAAACCCCCCTTGTAACTCAGGAAGAGTTTTCCAACATGCTGTGTATTAGAGCAGCCATTAAGGAAAGGTTCCTACTGGCTTCAATTGACTCAGTGTTTCTGACTGTTAGGCATATACTAGGAAAGCATAAGAAAATCTCCTCTGACAATGAAAAGTCTCCATTATTGTATGAGGGGAAGGGACAATTCACCACAAGGCAATATTTTTTCGGATGTGCCATGGTGGAAAACACATGGTACTAGATTATGTGAATGGTCTACATGCTTACAACTGTCCTGCTACAAAATTTATGACAAATGAGTGGGCTGAGGTACGATCAGTGCAATTTATCAACAAGGCCTAGCAAATCCCAACCAACAACAATACACCAAATAATTAAACAACAAAAATATCACACAATTCTAATGCTATTTTGATTTTAATTAATTTTTATAATGTTACACTATTTTAGTGTTGTTAGCCACCCTGAGCCCGGCTTCGGCTGGGGAGGGCGGGATATAAATAAATTATTATTATTATTATTATTATTATTATTATTATTATTACTAATTCCAGTAGAATTTAAAATTCTGATAAAAAATTAAACTAAACTACAGCATTCAGAAAAATCCTCATTAAGCAAATTGCCAGGTGTTGCAATTATTGATCTTTTTTTCATGTTGTGTCAACTTTTTATTATTTTAATGGTTTGATTTGGGCAAAGTGCTTGAGCTTGTGGTGGATGATAAGTCTTGTCACTCTTGAATGAGACTGATTTTCTGGGTCCACTTCAATATAAATCAGGATAACACATGAAGTGGACTATAGTCCATGAAAGCTTACACCAAAATATATTTGTTATTCTTTAAGTTGCCAGAATACTCTTCCTTGCTTTTGCTGCAGAAGCAAGAACACAGCTACCCCTCTGGAAAATATATAAGCACACGCTGAATATAGAGCAAATGTATAGTATTACATCACCTACTTTAAAACTGAAATAAAATATTATTTTAAAGGAATCAGAATGAAGGAATCAGAATGAAGTCATCATTTCTATGTAGCAACACAAAAAGAGAAGTAATCACTATCAACACTAAAGGATCTGCACACTTATCTCCATAGAACAGAAACAATCGACCAGTCAAATCCAGATGTGCATTTGCTCCTTCCAGTCCACATTGCACTGGACACACTGCTAGAAGTCATCAGAGGTTGTAATTGGGCAAAATATGTTTCCTTCCTCAGAAATCACAAACACAAAAAACCATGGGTAGCCACGTAGGTACATTAGAAAAAAAAATAATTCAAAATCTGCAGTAGGACAATAGCTTCATGAGGTTCAAAGTGTTATATAAGCAGTCTCCCATCATCCCTATCCAGAATGACCAATGGCTAGAAATTGTAATCCAGCAAAGTCTGGAGGACAAATTGCATACAAATTATCATCTTCAAGCAAGAGTTGCCCAGGGTCCCAAATAAGGGAATGTCTCTAAATTCTGATGGTGGTATAGCTGAACTGCATACAGAAATCAGGTAGGTAGCCGTATTGGTCTGACGCAAATGAAATAAATTAAAAATTTAAAAAATTGTCCAGTAGCACCTTAGAGGCCAACTAAGTTTGTTCTAGGTACAAGCTTTCATGTGCATGCACACTTCTTCAGATACTCAGATATTCAGTATTTGAAGAAGTGTGCGTGTACATGAAAGCTTCTACCCAGAACAAACTTAGTTGGTCTCTAAGGTGCTACTGGACAATTTTTTAATTTTAAAATTTATTTCAACTGCATACAGAAAGTTTCATTGTACCGTGTGTATCTATAAGGACACTTTACAAGTACTGAGTAAAACCAGGGTTCAAATCTGTGCTTGGCCCTGAAGCTCACTGGATGACCTTGGACCAGTCACCAGGATTGTTATCAGGATTAAGTGTGGTAGGTATAGCGGAATCTGTTGCTTTTTTGTTCTCAACTTCTTATTTTTTCCAGTCTTGAGTTCAGTTCTCTACATTTCCACGTCAGTTTGAGATTTTATTATTTTTAAAAAGAAGTCCTCGTAAACTTTTGTCAAATGTCTCCTAATATGCATGTTAGAATGCAATTTTTGCACCCATATTTTCCTAAGCAGTTTCCCCAGATGTGTTATTTCCCTGAGCATATGCATTATTGGTTGGGGAACTGCATTGCAAAATTCAGGCAAGAGAAAATTTTGAAGGTTGGCTGGGCTTCAGTTCACATAGTGATTTGTGGAGTGCAAATTAGGTAGATTTCCCTTTAATGCAAACTGAACCAAATTTCTCCTCCAGCCCTATGTGTCAGGGAAGGGTTAGGACAAAACTCTTTGTATATTCGGCTGAACTCTGAGGAAGAGGAGGAGGAGGAAGATAACAGATGAAAGTAATTTTGAAATTTTATTTCAAACCTACTCCCTCCACCGCATGGCCAGAATGTCACCTGATTAGAAATCTATTCATTCACTGGGAAGAATCACAAGAGACAGAAGAGGCTGTTCCATATGTTCTTATCTCTAGAAAATCATTATATCTTTGGCAGTTTGTTTATTTTATACTGATTAGCTGCTCTTAACAATTTTGAGCTTTGTAAGCAAGAAAGAAGCAATACAGAGCATTCTCATGCTTTTAGCTGTTCTGAGTCACTTTTTTTTTTAAATGCAAGGGGTCTTTACTTTTCTTCTGATTCTGGGCAAGGACTTAGTTAAATGGCTATTTAAGAACTGATGACTAATTTAATGGATTTAGGAGAACATTCTACGCTTTTTTATGCAAATACACACACCCCCATGCCTGTGTCATTAACCTGGCAGTCATTTCATGCATGACTCCCCATCTTATTAAGCTAGCAGTATGGAATATTTGATTTACTAAACTGGTATGAACTATTTAGTGCGCTAATCTAAGAATATAACTTTTACATTTCTTGCATATAGCTGTCATGGAAATAGATTGTGGGTGGAGGGGGGGAATGATAGAAGGGAGCAGTCATAATAAATGCTATTTCAGAGAGTCTATTTTTAGGAAGCCTCATACAACCAGTGACAATGTACCTGCGTGAATGAACTATGCAAGACTTGAGCATAAAAAAACCCATCACGAAAATTAGGAAACTGACACATTTTAAGGCCGATTCTGTGGCACGGATCTGTGCATGTACAAGGATTCAGATACACATCTTTGATAAATGATCTCTTGAAAACCTGTAGGTTGTCATCAGCCCCGTAGTCTTATGCGAATCTACATCACAATTCTTCCAGAACATTTTTTAAAACTCTGTTTATATCCAAGCCCCCCGGCTTCCCAGGATTTGGTTGCCATAGCAGCATTCATTGGCCATGGGATTTATTTGGGGGGGGGGGAGAGAAAGGAATGTATATTTGTGAAGTTGGTTTGGTGCCAAACGAAGCCGGAATTGCAGATGGGAGACCCTGGTTTCTTCCTTTAGTGTCCATTTCAGATGGATTCTAATGTCACCCGGGTAATTGCGAACCACTTTGCAAACCGTTCCACCAGCTGCATGCAACAAAACAAAGAGAAATTTAGTATCAAAAGGAAAGAATGGCAATTTAAAAGGCCTTTAAATGATGTTTTTCTCTGTTTCTCAATCAGCAATACTTAAAAGCTTTTCATCCGTTTCCCTTACTCCGGCCCCCTCATGAGCACATGTTAGCCCTTCTTTGATATTTGCAGCTAGATGTCTGAAACAATTCTTCTGCCAGACTGTTATAGTTTCCCTTATTCTTTTTTGTTTGCTTGCTTGGTTTTCTCCCTGAGATCTTCTTGGCACAACATGGGTGCTTGGAGGTTTGGAGAAGGTGTCTAAATAGCACAGAATACCCATTGTACAGCCTGTGGATAATGGCATAGGTAGGATGGCATATGTGGAGAAAGAGAGAGCTTGCAAGCATCGTTACGAGAATGGTGTGGTACTGCAAGTGTTAACATGGTTTGTGAACAGGGCTTCAAAGAGAGGGTCCATGCTGGTGTGCAACGGGAGCGATGGTTACACACAAAGTAACCGGGTGCAGGGAGTGCTTATGCGAACAATTCCTGGGACAGAAGCTGTGGAACGCAAAAAAAGCATGCAGGCCACATCAAAAGCACATTGTACAACAGAGCAGGCATCTCTGGAGAAGGAAATTAGTTTCACCCAGTGTAACATTGATAAGAATTCAAAATCACCACCACAACCTACATAATCGTTGAATTAATATGGAGTTTGGGTTTCCCGGCTGCAATACAGTAACCTGGTTAAGCATACGAGTCCCAAATTCAGTGTCTTTTGAAGTAGTTCTTCACTGACCATACAAAATTGGTAGGAGACCGACAATGCATGGAGCCAAGTGCATGTAGGCAGTAGTCAAGTGACTTAGTCCTAGATTACCTTGGACTAAGGCTGCTATCCCGATGTCCCTGGGAGGGAGTCTCAACACTCAGAGGAACCCTTCCAATTTGAAGGCAGGGGATAGAGAGGTCCACCCTTGGAAAGGGAGATTAGACATGGGATACGCCTTCCAACGTGGCAGTGGAAAGGTTCGCAGTAGGGTTTTCTGTAATAATGGAGGGAAGAAAAGGGAAAGACTGTGGATCTGCAGGAGCTATCATGATTTGTCTTCCTTCTGTTGATTCAAATGGAAGGGAAGTTTTAAGAAAAAGAGAGAGACCAGGAAAACAAGAGTGTGTGTGGAGCTTTGGGGCTTAGGCCCCGCTTATGGGTTTCTCACCAGCATCTTGTTGGCCACTGCAAAAACAGGATGCTGAACTAGATGGGCCACTGGCCTAATCCAGCAGGCTCTTCTCATGCCCCTTGGGCTCTCACCCAGCCAGTGAAAGCCTGGCAGAGCATCGGGAAAAGGTGATCCAGTTCTTCCTCCCCACCTTTTGGATTCTTCTGCCCATGGGTTTAGGACTGCAGCCTTAGCAATGAAATTGTTAGATGTCTGTAGGATGAGGCCCGGGATTTCATTGGGGTTTAGATGCCCCAATGCAGACCACGAAGACTAGCTGAAATACACTCGCAGTTGCAGCAGTTTACATGACGCTGTCGGACAGTTTCACCCAGTTAAAAAATGATTCACAACAGTCTGAACGGTCCACCCCAATGTAAGGAAATAGAAATAGGTGCAAGTGAGAGTAGCCAGGTGAAAAAGAGATCAGGGATGCTGCACCTCCACTGTTGTATAGGAGATAAAGGGATTCTCTAATCAACCAAAATTTGCTTGCAGAAAACACATGGAGTTAAAACTATGGTCTTACACCTGCATCATACATTTTTTTAAAGCATATGAATTTACATTTAAAGTACAGTGGTACCTCAGGTTAAGTACTTAATTCGTTCCGGAGGTCCGTTCTTAACCTGAAACTGTTCTTAACCTGAAGCACCACTTTAGCTAATGGGGCCTCCTGCTGCCGCTATGCCGCCAGAGCACGATTTCTGTTCTCATCCTGAAGCAAAGTTCTTAACCCGAGGTAATATTTCTCAGCGGAGTCTGTAACCTGAAGCATATGTAACCTGAAGCGTATGTAACCTGAGGTACCACTGTATAGTTAATGTGTCCTTAAAACAGATGACTTCTTCCTAAGAAACCCATGATCCGTTGTTCCTCAAGAAGCTTCAATTCTCAGCACCCTTAACAAGCTATAGTTCCCAGGATTATTTTCCGGGGGTGGGGTGGAACAATGTGTTTTATATCTGTATTAAATGCATAGTGTGGTTTGCCTATGCATTCTCAGCGTGCATTCTGATTTATTTGTGGGGAGGTTATATGACACTGAGCATTTATCCTGATTTGCTTGCATGGTGTTTATATCACTTCTCGTTAATCATTTTCCCCCCATCCCATGCTTTTCAATGCATTTCGCCCTCACTATCCTAATTGCAAATAGTCTATTAAAAACAGCTTTGTTGTGCCAAGGCAACAGAGTGCCTTAATCCACTTTAATTGCACAAAACTAAATTTCTGGTATGGGCTCGAATCCCTCCCGCAAAATACTGACAGTCTAGAGACAACTGGAGTTTAAGCAGGTGGAGCTTGGTGGGTCAGCCTGCATGCTCTCTCCCAGCTACTCACTCAGCCTCAAGGCAGAAATCCTTATTTGCAGTTGGGCAGGAACAACAACGATGACAAAAATAGATGATGATGAAGTTGATGGCTAAACCTCTGTCCCACTTTTCCTCCCAAAGGGGCCAAGGTGGTAAGTACACCAGTGGCAATGAAGTACAGTATTACTGTGTAACAGCATGAGCCTATGCAATCTTGATTGAGAAAAAGCCTAATAGAAAACAGTGAGATTTGCTTCTGAATAAGAGACACAGGATTGAAGTGGGCTCACTGGTTAGGTGTGCCCAGTGTTAGAAACTCAGATATATAAGCAAGGTGCCAAGAGGCTCCTTAATCCAGTGTTACAGTCGCCAAAACAGAATGTCTAGTTGCCATTTTGGGGCCAAGCAGCTCAAAAGTCATATTTTTTGATACAAATTTTTGGTTCCTGACGTTTGTTCTGATTGTGCAGATAAAATATCACAGATGGAATTTTAAAGGATGTGTTTTTAGTGTGTGAAAACAGGCAAGCTCCAGGGATTCCCCAGGTATGCACCTCCAGATGGGGGAGACAACAGGTGCCATCCTAGTGCCCAGGAATCTTCACTTGGTCTCAACTGGTTGATAGCCAGGTGCAAAATGTGCCTGGTGAATTTTGAATGCATGTTGTGACAATTAAGTT